GTGGATATCCAGTTTTCCCAGCACTATTTATTGAAGAGGCTGTCCTTTCCCCACTGTATATTCTTGGCGCCTTTGTCAAAAATCAGTTGGGCTATAAGTGGGTTTATTTCTGGGCTCTCTATTTGTCCCATTGTTCTATTTGTCTATTTTTATGTCAGTACCATGCCGTTTTCATTACTATAGCTTTATAGTACATTTTGAAGTCAGGAAGTGTGATGCCTCCAACTTTGCTCTTTTTGTTTAAGATTGCTTTAGCTACACAGGGTCTTTTGTGGTTCCATACTAGTTTTGCTTTTCTATACTAATTAGCTCCATACTAATTGCTTTTTCTATTTCTGTAAAGAACATCATTGGTATTTTGATAGGGATTGCACTGAATGTGTAGACTGCTTTGGGTAAAATGGAAATTTTGATTATGTTAATTCTTGCAACCCAAGAACAACATGGGATATCTTTCTATTTATTTGTGTCCTCTTCAAATTTTTCACTAGTGTTTTATAGTTTTCATTGTAGAGGTCTTTCACCTCTTTGGTTAAATTTACTCATAAGTATTTCGTTTTTTTGGTAGCTGTTGTGAANAGTCATTCTAACTGCAGTGAGATGATATCTCATTGTGGTTTTAATTTGCACTTCCCTAATGATTAGTGATTTTGAGCATTTTTTATGGCTTGATGGCCATTTGTATATCTTCTTTTGAGAAATGTCTGTTCAAGTCCATTGCCCATTTTTTAATTTTGTTGATACATTCTGGATATTAGTCCACTGTCTGATGTATAGTTTGCAAACACTTTCTCCTATTCTGTAGGTTGTCTTTTCACTTTGTTGTAGGTGGTCATTCACTTTTGTGCCCCCTGTTGTGCAGTAGCTTTTCAGTTTGATATAGTCTTATTTATTTTTGTCTTTGTTGCCTGTGCCTTTGCAGTTTTGCTCAAAAAAGTGTTGCCCACTCCCATTTCATGTATCATTTCCCCTGTTTTCTTCTAGTAGTTTTTTCATAGTTTTGGGTCTTAAATTTAGGCCTTTGATCCATTTTGAGTCGATTTTTGTGTATGGTGAGAGATAGGGGTCTAGTTTCAATCTTCTGCA